TTTACGATAACTTAATTAGCATGGATAAATTTTGCCTTTTTTTGTCTTCATCGTTATCACTTGTTTCTTTATCTTCATATTTATCTTTATTTCAAAGTTTAATTTCAAATACGAAGTAAAACAAAATGCGAAACAGCTTAAATTGAACAGGTTGCAAAAACAACCATACACAAATATGGAAATTTTTAAACGACGATTTTCAACCAATTTCGAAACTATAAAAACTCTCCTCATCTACAGAAAATTACCTTTCCAACGGTGTTTTTGGTTTTGAAATCGGTAACTTTACCTTGGTCTTCATCTTTGTTTTTATCTTTCACATCTTTGCTTTTATCCTTTTCTTTTTCTATTCACGTAGATGAGATGAGGTGCGATGACGTGATAAGATGTGACGTGATTTTATGTGATGTGATAGGATGTCATGTCATGTGTTGTCATATCCTCTGATGTCATGTCATATGATGTCATATCATGTGATGTCAATATGACATCATACATGTGATGCCACGTCATGTAATGCCATGTCATATCATACGATGACTTATCATGTGATGTCAAGTCATGTGATGTCATGCCATATAATGTGATCTCATATCATATGATGTCATGTCAAGTGATATCGTGTGATGTGATATCATATTATGTGATGTAATATCATGTGATGTCTCTTCATATCATGTGATATAATGTGATGTGATGTCATTTAATGTGATCTCATTCCATGTTCCGATTATTATATGGATAACTGTGCCGATAAAAATACCGATAACGATATCCATAAACATATAGAAAAATACAAGGATTGCAAAATCGATTAATTCATCGATAAATATAACAATCATCAGTATAGATTATTGTACGTGTCGATAACAATATAAATCAATTATTTAATCGATGATTATACCGATAACAATATCCATTATTGTATCGATAACAATATAGATTATTATATTGATTATTATATCGATAACAACATAGATTTTTTATCGATAGCAATGGCCCGATAAAAATATCGGGTTTTATATCGATAACAATATCGATCTTCATCCTCACCCTTTTCTTCATATTTATCTTTATTTTTGCATATTCCTCTTCACCTTTACCTTAAAGTGTTTAAATTTGCTTTGATCTTCGTTTTTGCCTGTACCTCTCGGCATCTTTGTTTTTGTTTATATTCTCAAACCGCTGAGAACCATTTCCATGTGCATTATTCACCTTTAATTTGACAATTTACTCCCACCCAACCAACTGCCGCTAAAGAAGTTTCACTTCATAAATTCAAGAAATGCTCTTACCCTTTTAGTTACCCTAATTCTTATGTATCTGTCATTGTCTNTGATCAGTTTGAATATTTCGATACGTTGCGATAACTAACTTGTATGATTCGAAAAATTTCAGTAAGCTTTATGGCTAATTTTATTTCGATTCCTATCGGAAAATTTCAGCTCTGTTAACCAAGTTCTTATGTATTTTTCATTGTCTCCATTTGCGCCTTTATCTCAATTTTCGTCTCTACCTTTACTTTTGCCTTTTTTTTTGTCTTCATCGTTATCACTTGTTTCTTCATCTTCATATTTATCTTTATTTCAAAGTTTATTTTCAAATACGAAGTAAAACANTGTGTTGATAAAAATACCGATAACAATATCCATACACATATTGAAAAATACAAGGATTGTAAAATCGATTAATTCAGCGATAAATATAACAATCATCAGTATCGATTATTGTACATATCGTTAACAATATAAATGACTAAGTCGATAACAAAATCAATTATTTAATCGATTATTATACCGATAACAATATCCATTATTGTGTCGGTAACAATATCGGTTATTATATTGATTATTATATCTATTACAATAGCGGTTATTTAATCAATAACAGTATCGATAACAATATCGATTATT